ACATTGTGTTTCTGGCAGTAATTCTTATCAGCTGTTTTTCAGCACTGCAATAATCATATCTTTCAGATTCCCATCAATAAATGTGTTAAAAAATAAGGTGCCTTTAAAACCTCTACTCCCTGGATTTTTTTAGGGAGTTGAAGTAGAGTCATTAAGATGAGATCATCATTTCATTTGGGAATAGACAGGGCTGAGGACCCATAACATTTTGTTTCCTTTTTTTGTCAATCCATAATAACCCACTTAACACTCTTCTTTTTTTTTTTTTTGGTACCGGGGATCAAACCCTGGTTTTTTTTGGTACCGGGGTCCTTGCACTTGCTCAGCAGCCAGTGAAACCACTGAGCTAAATCCCTGGCCCAACATTCTTCTTTTATAAATGTTACTCTGTCAAATTTGCAAGTATAAAAAAACTTTAAAACAATTTGATGTAATTGTTATCAAAATGCCTTGAAAATGTGTCCATGTTTTTTCCTGTTCTTAATTTTATTTTATTTTTAGGGAATTGAGACCATTTTTTCTTTAGGTTCCACAGAAATCTTTTCTATAATTTTGACTGGAAAAGAAATATCCCATATCAACATCAAAAATACAGTTAAATACTATGTATGTTTTCTGTAGCTAAGTATTTTACTTTTCTTATTCTTAATTTTTTTGTTTAAGAGCAAAATTGTGAATCCTTGACTATGTTTGCAGCTAATAGTTTCTTTGTCTTAGGAATTCTTTGCAGTTTTTAACTTGTGAGACAGGGTAGAAGAAAGAAGTAGATTATAAAATATAAAATAAATTTATATGAATGTAACAGTAGTAAAGACGTGTGAAAGTGGAAACTCATTGTCAAGTCTTGGACTCATTTACTTAAGGGGGCAAACCACCACCTAAATAATTGGGAAGGCGCTCTTAAAAAGAATTTAAGAAGACATTAAGAAATTTGGTTGGCATTAACAACTTACATTTTCCCTAGTACTAAATAAAACTCTTCCCACCCTAGGATTCATTCCTCTTATCTTGATTAACAAAGGGTAAGAACCTGGACATGCGGAATCTTTTCCCAGGACACAGACATGTTGCAGACCTCTGCCAAAAAGACTCATAATCTAATGGAAACATGTTCCACAAATAACACTTTATACAAATCCATTATGTGTTGAGACTCAGCTAATTGTATAAATACATTTTGTGAGATGCAGTAGAATTAATCCAAAGTTTATATTTTCAACTTCAAAGAATATCATGAGAATTATAAAACTCTTAATTGACAACAAAGGAAAATGTACATTGTTCTTCTTTACTTTGAGTGAAAACAGAGAGGTAAGACAAAGAATAAATTTCCTAACTCTGACAAATGCCAGATTTAATTCTCTGTATTTTCTGCTTTTCTATCCCATTGCCAAGCTTAATTTCTTTCTCTTTTTTTTTCTTTTTTAGATTTCCAATAAAATAATTGAAACTAGGATTATACACTGGGGGGAAAAAAGCTCTCAGGTATTTTTAAGTCCTCAAGGTGAACAAACCACCTAAGGGAGGCAAGAATACATAGACTAGATTTTGCATCTGTAAGGAGGCAATTAGTTATTCTTGTGTATTAGTGACTGCCCCATTTTTTCTGTAATTTAGGTGATATAAAGGGCTTCAACAAGGACATGTTATAAGTGGGACATTTATTGCTAAAACAAAAGGTACAATTCTAATTTAAAGTCATTAGGAAAGTCATTTGTACTGATGCAGTCCAATTTCAAGGAGCAAAAACTTGGTCAAGCTGCTCTCAGTTCTCATTGTCATTTCTAGCCAAGCCATCATTAGCTTAAAGTCAGAGATAAAGAACCTGATAAGATATGCCCAACCTGGGAATTTTATCTATTCAAAGCAACACAACTCCAGTCAGTACAATGTTAATTTTGCAGGCATGCAGAGAGGGTAAGATGCAGAGCTGTGAGTAGTAATATCTTTGGCCTGTCTATAATGTAAATACAGTAAACTAAAGCAAATTTATTTATGTGTTCAGCATGATGGGACTGTCAAGTCGGTGGGTCATTTTTGTCACAGAAGCAAACAGGATGTCTGATCAACAATGAGCTAGGATCTAGAAAGAAACATTGGCAACATCAAATCAAGAGTTTCATCACATAATTTTGAAGACTGCATGTATACTTAGGTTCCAGAAAGAAAAGTTGATTTTTGAGATCGGACTTCACTTGCTTACCCTGGTTAGCAAAATCAAAATCAGATTTTTTAAAGAGAAATTTTAAGTGCACATTGTGAAAAATCTATGTGTCAAATGATTCTACCATAAACTGAATCCCACAGAAAAGATTCATTTGATGACCACGTATCCTCAAAATTGAATTGAAGAGCTTCTTTCTCAAAGTATAGATTCTGTGACTTCCCCTTCAAGAGAGGAATACCTAGGAGACTATTGATTTGGTTCTGAAGGACACAGTGTTTATTACAGAGGCAGGCATTGCTGGGTACAAGTGTGAGAAATTAATGATGGCTTTGTAAGTGTCCATGCTGTGGTGTGGAACCAGTGGGGCAACTGTCAATCTATATGATAATGCATTCCCAAACTTCATAAAATCAACAATGTGAAAAAGCATTGATTTCTTTGTGAGCTAAACAGAATTTGTCAGAGAAAAAGAGCAAAGAGTTTAGTGAAGTTAATGCCCCAGGTTGCAGAGTTGCTTGTACCTTACTTGCTGTTTGCTCAAAGAGTTTAGGATGAGACACTTAAATTTCAAATTTTTCTTTCTTGACAAAAATGAGACCAGAACCTGCATTATGTACATATTTTGCATAAATGGCATACTGAAAATTTCTTAAAAAGAGGAAAGGTAAGATATTCTGTCTGGATATCTAAAAATAACTATTACCTCCCTTGGACTCTGGCTTCAATATCTCCCACAGGCTTTGCCAGATGCATCTACCCACAGAGCTGGATAGAGCTTCCAACTCTTTATACAATTCTGATTGTATTTTAAGGAAGATTACAGGAAAATCCAGATACTATTGCTAAGGGTTTATTGCCTATTAAATGCAGGATATATATATATATATATATATATATGTATATGTACATACATATATATACACATATATACACACACATATATATATGTATATGTACACATATATATATATACACATATATATACATACATATACATATATATATATACTCTCACAAAGTAGAAATTGTTCAAATATGTTCCACATAATATTGAAAAAAAGACACTAGTATTAGCCTACCAAATACATGATTAAATATAACATTTTCCCATCAAAACCAGTTTTATGTAAATTCAGGGCAAGAATTCTTTTCTCACTTGGCTTCTCCAGAAACCTTCCCTTCTTCTTGGTTGTGTTTAAGATGTAGATATAGATACAGATCTATAGATACATATATAGATATATAGAGATAAAACTTGAAAGAAAGGAGAGAATGCAGACTGTAAATCTGTGTAAACAGCCCTATAGAGATGATTTTTTTGTGGAGAGGTGAGAATGGCAATCATGGAGGATTCGCTAAAATGCCTTATTTAAAATGTACCATAAATTCTTGGATCACAAGTGATTTTGTTTATTAGGCAATCAAACTGCCTCCATTTAAATAGTATCTGACACACACAAACTGAAAAAGGACACCAGTAAATGAATTCAATGTATGCCTTCATGGAAACTTCTAAAAGTAATTTCCTATCAAATAAGCACCTAAGAATGTTGAATGTGCCAAGTGTAAGAATTTTGTTAAAATTCAAAAAGAGTCAAGTGCAGATTTTTCTTTGAGAGTATACCTTGATTAGCTACAGGAATGGAGGCTAAGTAAGACACATCCCCTTGTCCCACTGGAGAATAAATTATTTCAAAATTAAAGATAGATTTAAATGCAACAGGGACATCTTTTTGAATATATGCGACTTGCCCAGAAAATGATGTATTTTCAACAGTTTCAAGATTAAATAGTATTTAGCTATGTTTTTGCATTCACAACAAGCTGTCTGCCTGTAAATTTCTTTTTCTTTTTTCAATGAAAGAAGATACTTAAAGCTGCTCTAGCAGAAGTTTATAATATTTTATATAAACATTCTTAACTGATCTATTTGTAAACATTTTAATGGTAATTCTTTTAGCAAATACACAGTCTATTCATAACAAACTGCACAGCATTTGATGTTTTCTTCATAAATCAGCTGTACCTATTGCAATTTATCTCTTAAAAACTGTATTTGACTAAACACAGTTCCGAGTTGCTAGAAAATCCACAAATAAGCACCTTATCTCTTAAATGACTTGCTCAGGCTTCCCTGTATTTACCGCTTAATGATCAGAGGCATTTAATTTTCAAAGTTTCATTAAAAGCCACCTACAAAGCTGATGGGTAGGCAACAGTGATTTGTGATGGAAGATGTGGCGAGCCATTAACCTACATGGGTACCAAGAGGAAAAGTAAACCTGGAAGAGAAGACTTTTCTGAAGACAATTCTCTCCCTATTTGTCATTATTAAACTCCAGAGCATGTGTTCCAAGTTTGATCTTCCATACGGATATGAGGTGATGTGCCTGGAAATGAAAGTCCAAGATAAGGTAGGATTCTTAAGAGATCTTCATGAAAAAAATAACCCAGGTTGCCATTTACTGAGAAGGAGAAATCAATACAAAGACCTAGAAATTTGTGCAGAGAGGACATTCTCTAGGAATAGGTCATAGTTTATCAAGCTGCCTCTTTTGCCATGTAATTTACTTGCTAATAAGACCCACTGACTATACCCGAATACTATGTTATCATCAAAATGTGATTTTAAAATTCTCTTCTCATTTCTCCTGTGCTTGAGAGTTGCTGGTTTATTTTCCCCCAGCTCAGCCTGGGTAGACAAGGTCGATTTAAAAGAAAATTGATGGTGTTATTATGCCTCTTTATTAAAAGACAAAAAAAAAAAAAAAAATCCCAAGCCCCATGTCCAGCAGTGCACAGAACATTCAAAGTATTTAAGAAGCAGGCCTACCGTTCTCATCGTCTGACTTATTTTCGTTGTCAGAGTCGGTCAGAGTCAGGGCTGAATTTTCACGACTGGACAGGCCAGAGCTGCGCCTGGATTTGATCCCTCGGCCCCACAGTCTGATGGCATGTTCGGGGGACATCCCTCCCTCGGTGTCGGAGTCAGCGTCGGACCCTGTGCTCAGGGAGTAGCCCTGGTGGAGAATTCCCATGTCTGAGCAGTAGCCGCTGCGGTGCGGGGAGGGCTCACAGATGCCCAGCTCCGCAAGGGTGAAGTTCGTTCCTAGAGGGACAGCAGTGGAGACAGAGATTAAAATGCGTGGAGTGCATATTCGTGTTCTCTGTATTCTTACAGGAAAGCAGACAGACTTCTTTGTCATGCAGCAAGTATATAGGACTGGCCCGGCACTGTATACAGAACCAGGTCTTGAATGAAACCATTCAAGACATGAGAGTGAGGAACAAAGGCAAACACCAGTCTTCCAATAGACTGTTCAGATTTTTTGGCGGGGGCGGGTACCGGGAATCAAACTCGGGGCCTCGCGCTTGCGCAGCAGGCGGCGAAACCACTGAGCTAAATCCCCGGCCCAGACTGTTCAGATTTAATTTCAGAGATTTTGAGGCATTTTGACCCTGTTGTCCAGGAAGTACTGTGTAGCAAAAATAAATAAACAAATAATGACACTGGACTTACCATGCCCAATGTATACTAAGTGCTTATTCAAGCATTTTTTATTTGCAAGTTTCATTGTACACTTCAAAAATATCTTTCTAAATTTATAACGTCATGAAGATAATACATTGCTGGAATCATTTTATAGACGAAGCAACTAATCAAAGATTAATCCAAAAGCACCCATTTAGATTGTAGCAAAACCTAAACCTGATCCTTTTTCAATCTATCTCCTTGTTATACAGCCTTGGCCCTCTAATAAGTAGGAGATGCAGCTAGAAGACCAGGAAGCCTGTCCTGCTAGTCCATTGGTAGCATCCTTATTTGTGCCAAGTCTTTTGTCTCTGGGAGCCCTGGTGTATTTTTGTAAAATCTAGGTATCCACCCCTTAAGTTAAATTTCTCTAAGGATCATTATGGGCTTCATGTCAACTTATTTTTTTTAAAAAAATATATGTAACATATTACTGAAGTCAACATAAAGGATGAAGTGCAAGTTTAAACATAATATCAAATAATTTCTCTTTGTTAACAATTAAAACCACCAGTAGGCTATCCCTATGGAAAATAAATGTGTGCATATGAGGGACACACAAAGCAGCACCCAGTGGTTGATGGGAAGCAAAGCGAAGGGCATTTTTATTGAACACTTCAATTACCATGTATCAGAAGCTGGGCGAGGTACTTTATAGGCTTTATCTCACTGAAATCTCATAACAATTCGGGAGCTTATGTTGTTGCCATCAGCACTTTACAAAGAGAGTTTGAATACTGCGTCCAACCTCACACCTGAGCCAGTGGCCGATCCATGATTCACCTGTGTCTCTGCAGACCCCTATTCTGTGCTCTTCCCACAGTGTCAAGCAGTCTCAATGAAAAGTCAACCTGGTAACATTTTCTTGCACCTAAATGCTCTATTTATTTGTGTGTCATTCAGCTTCATAAAAAGATATTTTAAGGCTTCAATGCAAATTAGATGAAATCACATGGTCCACTCTATTTATGGACAGAAAAAGCTGATTTCTTTTGTCTTTAACCAATTTATGATGATGAAAAGAATCCGTTAAAGAAATGCACTTCTATGCTGCAAGTGGAGAACATCTTATAAATAACACCAAAGCCAAGGGGCAGCTTTCTATATATACAGTATTTTTATTACCTTATAGTCATTTTGATCATTCATCTCTCCAAAATTTAATAACAAAACTTTACACTCTATGATAATCCATATATGAGATATAACTTTTCAACTTTTATTTTAAAAAGCACTAAACTATTTGTAGTAACTCAGTGGGACTTTAATTTGTAATAGGTACAAGTATTTTTATTCTGTTTTTAATTTTCTTTCTTCACTGTACATTGATCTTCCCACAACCTTATTGAACTGTGTGCATGGAATGAACCCAATTCCGCACATAATTGTTCCTGAGATGTGAGACTTATTCACTGAGGATCTAACCCAAGTACATACTCTTCTGGGCATGGGGTGGTCACCAACTACATGTGTGGGAAGAGAGAAGTCGTTACTGCCTTTGGCACAGGGCTGAATGTTGCTGTTTATTTTCTAGTCATCATTTATCAGGCTGGCCTGAAACTCTCTGCCTGGTGTACTCTGCTCTGCTTCCCTCATAATTAGGTATTGTCTCATAATTGTACACTAAAAATGCTATTTCTGTCTCACAGTCTACAAAAGAGAAAGTGCTGAAAATATATATATATGACCTGTTTCTATGTTGGTGTTTTCCTTACTCTGAAAGAAGTGGAAAAAGATGTTTAGTATTCAATTTTTCCCATCTTATATATAGAGTTCATGAAATATTATTGCTGCATTTCCCTAGATAAATAAAAATGAGCCAAACTAAAACTAAAACATATTCTATATGTTATAGTTTTTAGCTATACAATACTTTTAAAATGGAGTGAGTATGTACTAATGCAATTTCCCTTATAGCTTCTTCTCATCTCCTCATCTAGCCAAAGGTTGAAAGACCTTATGGGGAAAAAACAGATGTTGGATTAGAGAATGCTTATTTACAGGGCACCCTACATACTTTTTGATGTGAGTACTAGTGATAATAGGTAATAGAAAACATAGGACATGAGAAGTAATGGAATAAACATGGTATCCTTTTTTACTGCTCTATGATAAGAAATTTAAGTTGTTATCTCTACGTTAAAGCAAAGTGAAATTATCATGGATTAAGTAAAAACTGCATAAATATTAAAACAATCATAAATATTGTCAAAGCAAAAGTACACTTTAATAGTTTCAACTTCAAGTTTAGCTTCCAAGCTACCAATGAGTAGTGCCAAAAAGAAAATTGGAAATACTGCGCTGAATTCACAAGGAAAAAGCAAGTGAAAAATGATTTTTTTCTCCAAAACTGAAATCATTTCCTAAAAAAATTACTTTCTAAATTCATTTTCATCTTTCAACAAAAAGTATCTTCTAAATTCATCTTCATCTTCATCTTTCCAATACCACATGTTCTCCAGAATTCTTAATTCCCATCTTTCTGTTCTCAACTAACACAACAAATAGAAACTTCAATCTAATTACCTGGCACAGATGGGGCCAAGCCTTGCTCTGGCTTGCTGGCTTACACCACAGGGAGCTGGTAAGCCATAGAGTAAAGAGGGGAAAGCTGGCCTATCATTGATTAAATCATTCAACACACACACACACACACACACACACACACACACACACGTTCCTTGTGATATGCTAGGCATTGGGATATAACTGGAAGCATTATAAAAAATACAGTCTATGACATTTACAGCCTAATTGGGAAAGAGGCATTAATCAAAGAATTACATAAACAAAATGCAATCTATACAGTAATAAATACCCTAGAAAAAGAAAGGGAACCATAAGCGGCCATGTAGGGTCAAACCCTTCATGGTTTCATGGCTCGCCTATGAGGTGTGCATCTAGGGCAGGTGAGTACCCAGAGCACCTGCCAGTTTACTTCTCTGGGAAGCGCCACTGCCCCTCCAAACATAGTGTTTCTCCAAACATTCCTCTCTATGAATTGATTTCAGACAATCATTTTTCAGGTGGTTCATCTTACAGCATAAAACCCATGTTACATACTCACTTAGAATATAAAAGACTATAGGGGAAATTTTAATACTAGATCAACTTATTGTTTTGCACTTACTTTGCTCATTGGTAGAAGACTGATTTTGCTCTAATTCATCTTGTGTACTTATGTCTTTATTAAACTCCATGGCAGCTTTGAATGGAAGAGAGAGACCAGTCACTGTGTGATTCTCCAAGCTAAGATGTCTAGTGGAAAGCAGTCAACACTTCATTCCTTCTTTACTATCTTTATAGAAATACAAAGTGGAGGCACAATATTTCAGTATTCATGGAACACATGTTTACCCTCTGGCTCCAGCCTTCCTGATATTGCTGATTAAAGTAGATGTAGAAGATGCTCTAATTTATTTCATTTCAAGTATATATTTTATGGCTGTTGCCAGTAAGTTGCTCAGTGTGGTCCCATATTATGATATCCAGGCCACAGTCATTTTTTTATAATAAATGATTACCCAAATTTCAGGTGTTGGGACAAAATGTTAATGTCTAATAACAGATGATTAGGATAGGAGAACATAAGTCTTTAAAAGTAACTCTTGTGAGAAGTTTCTTTGGTCTTATATTGCTTTTTCCTTGATCATAACCTCAGTGTATAACTCAGATCCTCTTCATGAGTTTTTTTAGAGTGTAATTTAGCAATAGATACCATGATTTGTCCTTTGACCCACAGTTCTATTTGAGGATACAAGTCCAAGGAAAAATATTTCGGCACATTGTGATCATGGCTTTATTTTCTAAGTTTTTGCCAACTTCTCACACTTTGAAATAACCTTTAACTAGGAGAAGCACATATGTAGCTAAGTCAGAATTATCATGTCATGGTAATACCAGGTTATACAAATAGCACTGAAAATGTCAGCATTTGAACAGATTTTTTACTATGAGGGGAAAAAGATAAAAGTTAACTGTAGTAAGGGGTAGTATGCAATATAGAAAACTCTTATTATCTAAATGCTACTAAGCCCCTTGAATGTAAGAGAAGACATTTTACACAGGGAAGTAAAAGCTGTTATATCATCAAGGCAGTCATTAATGACCACTCACAAAATGAATCCTCATCCATCTTATGCATTTACTGATAATATCTCTTCTCATATCAACCACCTTATCAATGTCTACTTCCTCAATTCCTTACTAATGTCAGAGAGCACAATAATACCAGTGTGAGATTAAACTGGAAAGCTGGTGAAAATGCAGATATTTGTGAAGATAACTAGAAAAGAAAACACCAGGATCATAAGAAAGGCCCCAGAATCTAGATCAAGCAAAATTAAGTTATGTTAACAAGAGAAAAGATAAATGGTATTGTTGATATGATGTTGAGAAACTAAAAGATGATTTGACAAACTTCTGGTTTTGTACACAGATGAAAGTACTATTTCTCTTTTCTCACTAATACAGCTAAAATTCTTGGACATTACATATAAAAACCATATAAAATTGTGAAAGGGAGAAAGAAATCAGATCTTTTAAGGCCTTGGGACCCAAGGAACTACATGATTGTG